TTGACATATAATTAAAAGAATTGTTCTGTGTAAATTGATTATATAGTTACTCGTGAACATATTTCGCCGATTCCATTGATTCTACCGATTAGATGTCTATTCATAGTCATTGTACCAGAAAACATTTCAATTTATGTAGGCTTAAAAATAACTTACTAGCGATCATCCCTTTGAACAAAGTGACGTGTGCTTTTACTTTATGCGAACTATATTTACACAGTCACACTGTAATAATGTGTTGTATCTAAATCAATACATACAATATAAGGAAGGTATGCTTCTTTACTTTCTTTTTACTTAACATGGCAGCTACATTGAACTTTTTTTAAAAACGTATAATGTTATGTAAAGGGGCATAGGTCTTGGAAAAGAGTGTACTGTGTAAGCTGTTTCATATGTTACATGTTACTTTATTTCTTTTGCTAACGAGCGGACTTGTTGGCGACTTTGAAAGATGCAATGAATTCGTATTTAAGATATATGGAGCGAAAATCAATTTATTAAATAGTCGAATACCATAAATAATAAAAATTAACTCAGGAATATTGGCATGTCAGGCAATAATGCTAATAAGATATCGTGAAGAATGATTATTTCTCTCGATTCCGATTCTTGCTAAATACTTTCTACAATATCTTGTCCTATGTAATATCGTTACATTAAAAAATTTGTAAATTATATGCGCAGTGATATTATTATTTCCAAAATAAGTCGGAGTGTATTAATTCATATGCCATTTCTCGTGAGTTAATCGTTTTAGACTGAATATATATTGTTCTTATTAATAAATATTTTAATTTTTGATGCAAAATACTAGCGAGTCGAGCCAGCAAAGAAAGAAAAAGATATATACATTTTTCTTAAGCAACTTTCTACATCACAAGACATTGCGTGATTTATGTGTCTGATAAATCGTTGCACAACCGGAGAGAAAGTGAAAATATACGATTAATTTATTTCATTAATCGCATTAATTTTTGAAAAAGTGATAAAAGTATGTCTGACTATAATGTTCTATGCTGGTTAGGATGCCGTGATCGAAACATTATCGTCACAATTTTTTTACGATTTGTTGAACATCCTGTATTGTAGCAAAATGTATTCTTAATGGAAACAGTTGGCTCGCTAGCGATTAATTAATTAAATCTGTGATTTTATATTTATTTGAATAAAACGCGATTACAAGACGTCGAGTTGTATCCACAGTAACAGAGCAGAATATATTGTTCTTAATAAAAATTGTCGTATTTAAAATAGAGGCACACTGAGAAAAAAGTATTTTAATCCAAAAAAATATTTATTAGGCTCCTAATAGCATATTTACTTACTTTTTACACATATTTATTTAGAATAAAATAACATTTTAACAAAAATTTCACTGTTCTGAACATATTTATTTAAAAATAATGAAATAAAATCAATTAATTACACTTTGCAACGAAACTGATAAGAAATAGTTGAAAATTACTTCTCTTTCTTAGTGGTATTACAGTTCAATATATATCGTCGTCCTCAATCAGGGACCAACACATGTCAGCCAACGTAGAATCTAATTTTTTGCCTTTATATCGTGTCTATAGGCTTGGCTACTTATTGGTGAAATTTCTCTCCTTGTTCATTTGATTCTGTATCTAACAATAAACTAAATAATTATTTAACTAACTAAATAAAAATATCTAATTCTAAATAAATATGTGTAAAAAGCAAGTAAATATGCTATTAGGAGCCACCCAATAAATATTTTTTTAGATTAAAATATTTTTTTTCTTAGTGCAGATTTATTTTATTTTATTTTATATTCATGTCTTGTCATATCTTTTCCGGAATAATCGCCGAATGATTTGATATTCTTTCGACAATTTGCGGAACCGCGCAAGTGTAAATAGCATGTTAAAAGGAAAGGTATACGCGCTATAATACGAAGATGCGCAATTTATACTCTCTTCAGATCTTCTGTCAAAGTGAACTTTCCTCTTCTGATTAGTTGCACCCGCTAATTGAATGATTATATTTTGTAATACGTCACTCAGTGTCTTTACGGTCTGATTGACGCAACATGAATTTTCCGAGTAATTTTTTAACGTAATAACAAGTGCCGTTCTACTTTGTCTGACTGCGATAGCGATTGAAGTCTCGTTATATTCGGATGAATTATTCATATATTTAAATATAAAGAATATAATATATCGAGATCGCGAGATATATGCAAATGTGAATAAGGCATTAAAAACATGTTGAAGAAATTGCCGTAATTAATAATCCCATTTAATTAGATTATCATAACTTTAATATAATAATCTAAAATTTTGCTAAATAAAATATCACTTGAATATTACTCAGTTTTAATTTTTACAAATAGCTAAACAATATTAATATTACAAGTAAATAGAAAATGTGTTAACGGTCGGACTAGAACTTTTTGTGCCTAATAATATTTTTTGCGTGAATTTATGTTTATTTTTAACAAACTGCGCGTTGATATTATTATCAGTCTTGAAGCGCGGTCCCAAACTATAGCTAAAATAATACAATTACATAATTAAATTAATAATCAATTCAATAATAGTGATGCTAATAAACATCTTATGTAAAGGGTCTGTTGTGAAAAATAACATCCCAGCCAGGCCATTTTTCATTATTAATTGAGTATCAATTTAATTAAGTGATTGTACAGTATTTTAGCTTCTGTTTGGGACTGCGTTTCAAGACCGATAGTAATCAACGCGCAGGTTATTAAGCGAAAAAAAGTACATAAATTCACGCAAAAAATATTACTAGGCACGAAAACATCCAGCCCGATCGTATATTGGCATATTTATATTTAATTAATATTAATATTTACAATATTATATGGTTTAGTTTTGGTATGGTCTAGTTAATATTATGGTATAGTTTTTTAAAAAGTAATATATGTATATAATAAATATTCACAATAGCTATAATACAAATTGTAAGCATAAAAAAATAATGAGTTGCATTCTTAAACGAATGCAAACGAATTAAACGATGTGTACATGTGTAACATGTGCAAATTTTGTTGTCTTGTGTCAATTAATGATGTCGCTACTTTGCATAATGTAAAACAGTGATATTAATCATGTTGTTACAAAGAATTAAGGTAAAGATTAGCAAACCGATGATGGTTAGCAACGTAATCCACGATTACATGTGATAACAACCGATGATTAGCATAATTTTTAAACACCTGATTTCTCGTTTTGCTAGAACAAATATTTACGATAAATTATTTTAGTGTGCGTCAGTCAATTAAGTCTCTTGTAAAATAAATTATGATTTCTCACGCATTCTCTCTATAAAAAAAAAAACACTGTGTTGCATTGTAAGCAGATATTAATTCCAATAGAAGCAATTTCGACAGGTTCACATTTCGATTGCTACGGACACTGAAAGATGATCTCGCGATAATAAAAATCAACAAATTTGAAAATACTCCGAAATTGATCTTATCAAAACAAATGCCGGTTTTATATATGCGCACATGCAATCTCTGACGCATATAAAAACGAATAATAAATTCAAACATCGAATAATTTCAAATATAATAATCATACATAAGATCGAATATATATGTGAAGAATATATGTGAAAAGAAAAGAGAAATAGCGAGAAACGAGAAAAATATCGAGGAGATGTAAAAATAGTCAATGAAACTTGAATATTGTCTGCAATTGATTTTTTCATTGGCAATGTTAGAAATAATGCAAAAATGTTTCCTAGAATAGATTTCAGACAATGTGCAGAAAACAGTATAGTAATACGTGATAAATAGCGGCATATTATTATCATTTCGCAACGGTACATCAGTATTCTCATCGTATAATCCATTAAATATAATCGGTATGGGTAATTACGAATGCGCACGAACTGTCTTTTACAAAAATATCTAAAATTTAACATAGATATAACAAACTTAAATTAAAAGCTAATTAAGGCAGTTATTTTCGTACCTCCATTTCATTCATATCTCCATTTTAAATATTAATGCTATAAATATCGTTATATGAATGCGATTGTGTATATCTATTTGTGCTATCGGGGGCAGATAGTGCATTTTAATTGTTAGAAAGGAGGCAAATGTTATAATTCTTGTATGTTGAAATTTACACAAACATTTCGTCTGATATCTTCTATTGATAATTGTACTGTTGTTAGAACTGTTAATTAGCAAATTTCTCACTTATTATTATAAATTGCTACAAATTAGAGCACTATCAAATAGCTGTTATTTTTTATGCAGTTAAAAGCAGATAATCTTTTATTATTACACTCCCCGGAAAATTCTACCCCTATTTTATATACTTTTGGTAAAAATTCGGTCAAATAGTTCAAGAGTGCAAAAGGACATACATACATACATTATACATACATTCATTTTTATATATATAGATATATAAAGATTGAATTAAATAAACAACAATTATTTAAATCCTGCATAGATTAGAATAAAATATATATATAATGTACAAAATAACTTAAATATAATATATTTTTATACATAATATTAATGATACCTTTATAATAACGTGTTAATATACCGATTTCGATACAAATTCTTCGAAAAGTTTGATAATATTCTTGAACAAAAATGTAAATTTATATCTTATATATATAAGAAAAAATATATTGTCCCACATCCCACATCAAAGGTCAAAAACCTTTTTTCATAATATTTTAATTAAAATGTTCCGGCGAAATCCTCTTTGGTGCAAACGCTTCTTATTATAATGCAAAGAGACTTGATAAAATTAACATCCTTAAATCCAGCGATCGCTTGGTCCCACTGTCCGCTCCGTTCTCCATCGCATTAACGGTCCTGGGTCGCGTATGTACCGCGGGTGTAATCACGCTCAAATGACCGAGGCGAGAGAAGGGAGGTAGAGAGGTCACGCGTACGAGCGTGTACGTACTTATTCGCCTACAACCTCTGTCAGGAGGAAGGCAGGTGTCGAAGGAGGGAGCTCAAAATCTCGAAAGTGCAGCTAGCTCAGGGCTTTCGTGTCGCGCGACGTTTAGTCTGTCGCGGTGTCCCGATCTAATGTAAACCGGCAACCTTAATTCCGATTTCTCTAACGCTTTCTACTCCGTGATTCCCCCTCTCGGATTTTGTCGCGGCAGAGAAGCGAGAATTATATATCTCTCCGCAACGAAACTCTCGTGTGTAAATGGTATTCTTACGTTATTCCTTTTTCCTTCTTGCGATCCAAAATTGGCCAGATAATGTAAGAGAGAGTTGCTTCTGATGTTAAAAAGGAAAGAAGAAATTGGAAAATATTTCTACAGCTCGCCATCAAGCCGCTCCGAAAATATTCTGTATGAAGATTTAGTTTGACAAACAAATGTGTGTGGGAAGAGAAGAAAGTGCGACGTTCGATTGGAAAAATTTAGAAAAATATAAAGACAGTTTCTGACAAACGAGAAATTCGTTGAGAATTAATTAAATAACTACGAGTCAATTGTTTTGTTCATAGTAAAAGCGAAGGACACAATTATAAATTGATTTTATGAGAAAGGTCTTACTTATAATTCTCTTGACAATACTAACTTCTTAATAGCACTATATATCAAACTTATCGTTAAGCTAAAAAAGCAAAGTTCTGAATTTGAAAGTGGTAATTCTCTTTCCGATCAATTTTACGTCCTACAAGGATAAAGGCCACGAGAATTTCTAACAAACTATAAAGTTTCTCCCCGAGGAAAGAGGAAAAGCGATCAAAGTGAAACAAGCTTATAAATCGTAAAATATCAAACTGTTAGTACAGGCAACGAAGAGTAATGACGAACATTGCATGCATGCAGGGGTAATCAATTCCTGTTCAACTGCGTAACAACATGGAAAATCCTTGCAGTTGTTACTTATTTGTTCGATAAATAGCAAGAAATATCGTTACACGTAATCCTTTTTGTGAAGTCGGCATCTTATTCTCAAAAACAGAAAACTTTGACAGTTCTGATACACCCGCAATAGTTCCACTTTTCGAAACGCTTCAATCCGACGAAGAAATCGACGAAGCTGATCGACTTTTCGTATAGCAGAAGAAACGACGGAAGGGACGTTGATCCCTTAATTCTGCATACAATCTCCAGGTAAGCACAACGGGACTGATATCGAGGGGAAAAAACCTGGTGACAAATATCTGAGCAGGTATTATAGAATTTTTCGGAATGGATTAGTTTCGATCGAAATTGTTCAGTTATTTCCTAGATTTCTATTGTGTTTTGTAAAGAAAACGGAATAATTTCGATCGAAATTCTCTGAATCGAAATTGATCGAGAGAAATTTATTCCTCTGAGATTGGATACTTAATGAGTTAATTTCTTTCATTAATTTCTTCTACAAATTTCTGCATCCATTGCTTCATATACAGGATGTTACCGACAAACTTTATTTATAGCCTTTTTGCGATGTTTGTAGTTAATTTTTCTTTGGCAGAACTTTGATTGGATAACATCTTTTTTCAAAACTTCATAATTCTTAACTTAAAGACTAAGCCTTCAATTAAAGTTTTATTAAAGTAACTTCTACTTTATATTTTACACCCAAGTAGCACATAAAAGTTTTAAAACGACTACGCATAACGTTGTTGCAGCTGAAACTGCATTTTTATCTAGCACAGTTATCACACCGTCATTATGACGTTTTGACAAAGTTGTAGCAGCAAAAGTGAGACAACATGTTTAGGCTTTGAGGACGATGTCGCAGCCGTTTTATAGTTGCGTTGCCGCACAACTATTTTACTGTGAAGAAATTGTCACAGCAAGTGACAGTCGGAATAAAGATAAACAAACCAATAAACAGAGAATGTTATATGTAAATTAATATTTAATAAAAATTAATTTAATTTAAAAATTACGTAAAAGTATTATTGAAAAAGGAATTTAAAAAAATTTTGTTTTTATTCAATTGAGATTGAATAATCGGAACCTTTGCCACGCTAAAAAAATTTAATTAATTAATAAATAGTAATTAATTATTGCAAATTATTGTAGTATAATGTACATACAGCATAAGTATGCTAGCTCAGACGCAAATTCATAAGTATAACGCATGGGTCCGCTTGACCATCGTTGATACATGCTAAGTTTAACTTAATTAAAATTGATAGTCACTTTACTCTTCGCTTTCGCTGTGACGTATAAATTATAGTCAGATTACAGCTATTTTGGCTGTATTTTAGTTTCTACATTACTGCTTTTCCCCTCGCTAAAATGGCTGCGGCTATAGTTTTGGATTTTCTGACAGCTGTCACAGCGACTTTACAGCTGTTAAAACAGTTAAAATAGCTGTGGCTGCATTTTGACTTTTTTATTAGCTGTCACAACGACTGTACATTAATATAGCTAAAATAACTGTGGCTGTATTTTGACTTTTTTATTAGCTGTTACAGCTAAAAATCTAGCAAAATACAACATTTGCTGCCAAATAGTAATTAAGGCTGGCAGGACGTTATACTAGCCACATTTTTGCTGTCGCAGCGAATATAGGCAGATTGTGTTACTTGGGTATATATTTATTGAGAAAAAATGCACTCTAAATTGCATAAAGAATTCATAAGTGAAATTTTTATTGCGGAAAATTCTCTGCATATGAGGTTTTTTTTTAGTGAGTCACTTATTGTAATCGTGAATAACTAAGTAAAGTAAATTGAGCGCATAAAGGCAGTCAATAAATCATTAATCATATATATATGCTGACAATCTTGTACATTATACCACAAGTGTCCCGTCATTTTTTTACTTCAAAGATTATGAAAAGCCGCAGAATAAGTTTCCATCGATCCTTTTCGTCTCATTTACATTCGTCTCTAGCATAGCGCGAGATATTTATATCTGTCGCTTCCATTTTTCACAATTGCACGCTTATCACTTTATGCAAATATGGATGCTGAGACTGGATATGTGAACATCAGTTCGCTAAACTCATTATGGACATTCGCTCTCGCGTTTCTTTGTATAAAAGAAAATCCGCTTGCGACAACTTGTCGCAAATCTCTTCTTGCTCACGTTCTACAAGCCCATTATAACAAGCTTCAATCGATCGTACGCTGGGAATGGGAAATAAATGGTGGAGGATCATAATTATGGCTTCGCATCCTCGCGATCGCGCAAGAATCTGATTGTACATTGTTTTCCTTCGAGAGAAGGCCAGCCTCGTCGTATCGGCCGCATCGTCCTTCGATATGCAAGAGAGTCGATATGCGTGAAGACGAGAAAACTGAACCACGAGCAGGTCCGACCGAAATGGCAGTTTCCGAGCGCGCGGAGAATGGAAAGAGGTTTGTTCATACCTTTTGGGATTTTGTGCTTTACATTTAACCCTAGGAATACATATTAAGTTTTTGCATACGTAAACCACACTGGGGTCTGAGAAGTAGCACCCCAATGGTACTTTTTTCATTATAACTCTCGAGAAAATCACCGTATTTGAATCACTTTTTTTCTTTCGATCGTAAATAAACTAAAGAATGCATGTATTCAGAAAAAATTTTAATTACTCATAAATGCAAAAAAACGCCATTTTATCGTAATTGCTTGAAAAATTCATATCTTTTTTGCTAATGAAGATAATCAAGAAAACTTTTTAGATAAAAAAAAAACACATTTCAAAGTACAAAAACATTTGCCTCTTAAATATTGGAATATTATCATCAAAATTGCAAGACTCCAAAAATGACGAATTTTTACATTTCTATTTCCTGGCAATTTTGCAGACAGGTATAAAAGTCAGAATTTTTGTTAAATAATACAAACTTAATAACTTGTCATGCATGTTTATTAATAAAAAGAATAAAGACTACAAAATATAAAAAAAATCAATTATTCACATAGATTACGTCAACTGTTCAGTGCATTGAGTAAAACAAAGATCGAGGATTTTTGCACAGCGGGCACGCAAATTGAGTCTTTTTATCCTTTCCACGTGGACAAAATCGCCTTTTGTTCTTTTTTTTTTCAATTTGGCATCATCTTTACATTGCACATTTTATCATCCACGTTCTCAATGAGTATTCGTACAGATGTACGTAACGTCATCGATTGTAATTGTCGCATCATAAATTTAATTAGCTTAACAGATAAATTTTCTAAAAATATGGCACGGAATTGAGCACCTCTGCTATCTTGTCGAAGCTACGAGTTTTCATTATTTACTTAGAACAATATGCAAGTGTAAATTATTGGTATACTTTATGTTCTAAAGATCTCGTGCTTAAATCTAATAAAACCGATAACAATATTTTCATGAAAAAATTATAAAAATATGATCAAATATTGTTTTGAATATAGATTTACACTATATTGTAATTTGTAATATCTCTATATTGTAAATCTATAAACTCGAATAAAATAAACTAGAAAATATATATACTTACTTGCAAAAAAATGTTGCACAAAATACACACTGGGCTCCGAGAGATCCCAGACTTATTTTACGTGTTAATTGTCGCAAAGCTGACGAGCAATTGACTACTCCAGCAGCTGCTAGCTATTGAAAAGACTTCAAATTTTTTTACATCCACCCTCGGTCGTATCCTTCCTCCCTACTTATTCATTCTATACCAATGGTAGAGTTTCAAACTTTAGCCTGAGATCTCGGAGACCCCAAATATTTTAAGATTAATGTGAAGTTATTCAGATCTTTCTCTAAAAAAGTCTCTAGATAAAAAATTCTCCAGAAATATTAATTTTCTAAACAATAAATTTATTCATAAAAAGATAGATACGCACAGAAAAGATGGGAATCTTATTATTATTCCATATGCACATTCACAAGATAAATAGCACTAGCAATTTTCTTTTTTTACTGACCTTGGCTTATAGAACTTTGTTCAACGATAAATTAATAATACCGTTAATAGAAGATACCGCCGCGCTTAAAGAGCGCTTTTCCATATCAAGCCTTCAATTATGTAAAAACGTTGTGTAAGATTCCAGGAAATACAGTAATTGTGAGATTCTTTCAGTAAAATAGTATTACTTTATTTAATTTAAAAAATTGCAAGTTTATGCCATTTAATCTGCAAAATGTCCTCTTCTTCTTAAACGATATATTTCCAGTGATACAACTGTCAAAATTAATATATCAGCCATCCCCTTATTTTAATTGATGCTCATAGCTAAAGCTGAATCGACAGATCTTATTCATATCGCATTTGCATTACACGACAGTTTTATTGCAAATATATTCAGGATGTATATAAGGAACTCGGCGTTAATAATATGCAAACGAAAACAAACTGAGAGTCACGAGAGTTCATTAAGTACTCAAAATGTGGTTTACGGACTTTACGCAGATGACTTCCTGATCGTGCGCGAGAACGTATTAACCTTGAAGTGACGGATCTAAAGAATTAAAAGTACGAAATCCAAGGTGTCGGTGCCGCATCTAATTGGTTTCCATCAGGGGGACCCTAGGGGGGGTGTAGGGAAAAAAACGCGTCAATGACATAATTTCGCGAGCTTCCGCAAAATCAATGTGTTCAGCCGCACAATCGTTTCTCGGGCTTTGTCGAACGATTAAGTATGATGTAGGCTAATAACATGACAAGTAGCTTTTACATTTTACCTTTGCTTAACGCGTTTGCGTAAAAGCATATCAAAATTTGATATGTTGAGTTAAATCGACAATTTATAATGAAATTTAAGAGAGTCATGATCGATTACGATAAACAATTTTGTAAATAGGAAATATACGGTTGGGCTGGATCTTTTGTGCCTAATAATATTATTCGTGTGAATTTATGTATATACTTCTTCGTTTTAGCAGACTATGCTTACTATCGGTCTTGAAAGAATAGTACAATCATAATTAAATTAATTAATTTAATAATACCGATACTAATATGAATCTTTAGAATATGAGAAATATAAGATATGGAAAATACGGAATAAGGTATGAAAAGATAAAAGAATACATGAGGTACTTTTATCACGAGCGTGCAGCATAAAATTACAACCTTGGAACATCGTAAATTTCTAGCTTTAGCTTGACATTGCATTTCAAGACCGATAGTAATGGCGCGTAGTTTGCTAAAGCGAAGAAATATACATAATTTCACGCGAATAATAATATTATAGGCACAAAAAATCCAGCTCAACCGTATATTGGTACATTTCCTATTTACTGATTGTTTATAATAGAATTTGTTGTTATATGATCATGATGTAACATTAGCCACGAATACAGTTGTTTATTATTCACTCTACTGTCTCTAGTTTCACCAATTTTATTTGAAAAATGAAATTTAAGTAATTTTATCCAGAAATGTAAATGTAATAGTAATATTCTTTTATTATTTAATCACAATTAATCAATAAAAAATATTAAAAAACAAAAGTTTTATACGTAAATAAAATATTTAAAAAAGTAAAGTAATTAATAAAAGCAAGTAAATTAAAAGCGAACAACTGGATGAACATTTCTCATATAGTAGCTCGACGTTGCAGTTCGATGTAATAATTACGTTCACATCCGCTCATTAAAATTTATAATGTTCCAAATGATTATGAGTTTATGCTGTATGCTCGTGATAAACGTACCTCGTGTATTCTTTTATCTTTGTATTTTATTATATAAAAAAAAAGAAATAATATTATGAACTCATCTGCGAATATAAATTTTGCCGATTTAGGTGAAACTGCAAGATCTACGAATATAAGTTTCGCAGACTCAGGTGAAACTGCAAGACATTAGGAAAATTGCAGGAAGTAAGATATTATTAAATTGCCAGCTACTTCATCATGCCTAAAAGCTCTGTCGTGTTTCACGAGACCTACATTATTATGCGTGTGTCACGGTTACTTACATAACACACATATTTTATATTTCGCGTAAGAACGAAAATCGTCAAACATGTTATCCTCGAATTTGGTGCAATTATAGAATATAAGCGAAAGGTACTTTTAAGCTGTATATCTTATCACGAAGAATTTTCTTAATTAAAAAGGTTTATAAAATGCTCAATAAAATGCAAAAAGTGTCAACCAAGTGGCATTTTTTACCTTATTCTAACTATAAATTCAATTTTAAATTTCCAAAAATCTTATTCGATTTTTCACTGCAGACAACTTCTAATCGCAATGACCGATAAGCAGAACGTAGTTTGCTCATTATAGATTGCGGATTAGATAATAAAGATTCAAATTGAAATCCGGATATGAATATGTTGAGAGAGGGGATCAAGAGATATGGTCATGTCATGTGCCACGTGTATATACGGCAGCAACGGAACAGACGGAGTGTCTATACACGAGCCACTTACATTAGATGAGTCGAGGTATGATTATTAAATCTCAATAGTGACGGACTAAGTTTAAGAAAAGATTTACGTTTAAGTTTTTTTTTCTATTGGAGCATGAACAGAGATATTATAAAGCAATGTATATTTAAGAAACTACGTTATCATTATCATACACCTGTCTGTACGACGTAGCTTAAAATATTTTAAAATAATTTTAAAATAATTAGTTAACATTATGATAGTATGGTTATTATTTTTATCTAACAACGGCAAGTTTTCTGCGTTGAACAACTTTTTATTTTAATATTTTTTGTTTGTGTTATCATTTATTTTCTTTGGTTAAGCTCTTCGCTTTATTTAATTACTCACATTTTCAAGAATTTCTTATGGTAATATATCTCTAAATATCACATACATATTTTTTCAGATATTTGATTTTACAATCATATTATAAAACAATAATATACTTTACTGGATATTTAATATTAAAGCATAGTAATAATTGAAAATTGCATAATGTGTATAAGTTTTTATTTGACACGATTTCGTGATACCATAACTTCTTTTTAAGAAAAATAGATTTAAACAATAATATTTAATTCGGACGCTGCGTCGTCAATAAAAAAAAAATCATTAATTACAAATCTCAAGACTAATTATCTTAACGCCAATCGCTATTAAGTATGATATCATCTTCACAGCAGACTATAATCTGCTGTTCGCAAATGGGTCACTGACCGACAATCTCATTGTATCAATGCCGTCTTCGTGTGTTGCGATTAATTAACATGCTGCGCGTCAATCGGAGCTCCCTGCGAGACAAAGCTAGCTTTGCATTCGATCAGGTGACGGCGAGAAATCTCATTAATATAATAATCGCTTTAGTAATACCGCTGTAAGTCTCCGAAACGGCGAGACGGCTGTTAAATCGTGTCGTTAAAAACCTTGGACAATAAGCGCTTCCAGATATCCCGGAAAACTGCACTTTTGCGAACTGGGCTTGACCATTGTGCGACACGTAACGACATATAATGCGTATAATGACGCTACTAATAGACGACGATAGAATCTTCGCTCGGCTATGATATCAACGATACTTATCCGCATTTGAGAACTAGTTGACACGCGACTGTAATATAACTCAGACTGTAATATAACTGGAGATAGAACTATCATGAGACGACGTTATCTATGAGGAGAAGAAAGACACAGAGCAAAATATTCACCGAGCGTGTTCCTTACGTATTTAATGAATGGAAATCTTATTCGCGGATCGTTTAAATCTCATTAAACAAATTTTCCAGTGAAAAAAAATACGGGGAACGTTGCATAATAGTAGAATTTCTGTAAATATAATAAAGTCGGCTACGAGCAAACATTTGTTTTTTTTGCGTAATTTATCTAATGTCATGAACATTTCGAAATAAAACAGACACATTCTCATTCTTTAAAAGTAAACATTACGCAAATATTCGAATAATAGAGCATCCGGATAACGGATCATTCTAATAATGGAGCTTCGAATAACAAGCGTTCTGTTACATCCTGATATTTTTTGTTACGACAAAAAAAAATGTTACGCAAAATAATGGCAAAATCAAGTCATTTGCCGAGACTCGAACGGCGAGTCTTCAGCTAATCTTTTCGTACAATCTGATTTCCTTTCGCAATTAATGCCTTAGAGCAATTAATGTCCCGTAAAAGCGGAATGGCGTTAAAGTTGACGTACATTACACGCGCGCGAAGGACATTCGGTTGGCATATTTCATGCATAATTAAAATCACATCAGGGTTTGATCGATCGCTAAATATCGCTCTATATGGATTAATAATAAGTCTTTCGATAGCCATTCAATCGGGAGTTTTATTCATAATTTAAATGACGAACCTTTAAACCCTATCTACGTTTTTCATTTTCCAAACAGACAAAATTTAAATTCAAGATCATTAAAGCATAATAATAATTTGAAGTTGCAAGGATAATCGTTGCGCAATATCATTATTTTTTTTTACCATATAATATCTGCGCAACGCAAAAGGCCTACAGAATTAAAAAGTCATCAACGAAAATGACGACCAATCTACTTATTTCTTAAAAATTACTGGACGTCTGCAAATTATATTTATCTCAGACGCAGCCTGTGAATCTGTACGCGTCTTTGTATTTTATAGATTCCGTAAGTAATCGGAGACGTGAAAGGTTCGCGAGAGTACACGTGGGAAAGAACAAGGGATATATACATGTCCGAGCAGGTGGAAAACGGGATTGCGTTGCCTGATTGGCGATGTTACATCATCGCTGGGCTCGTTTCATTCAAAATGAGAGAACGGCATGTACTTAGTGAGCGACACACTTTGTTCAAAGCTAACGCAACGCATTATTCGTCGATTCACCAGAAAATGAGAAAAATACGGGAGAAATAAACCACAGGAATACGAGAGAACGTAAAAAAAATATATCTACATTCGTCTAACCGCGACCTCGCGTAAATAACTCATTCATACTAATCGTTCGCATTGTTCGCCGGTGTTTCGCGTAACGCTCGTGGCAACGATTTTAAACCGGCACGATTCAACACAAAAGGTGCCTCCAACCATCATTGCGTTTATGTAATTGTGCATGTTCTTGCACGTTTGCGCAATGCGATATGTGGATCATCGTAAACCGGTCCTTTCTCTCTTTATCTCCACACGAACATTCTTACGGGATCATGGAATTACTTTAATCTTATCAAATCCTTACGGTGAACGCGTTCCTTTTTTATTTTTGAATATATTTCAGAGATATTTCGTACTGTTATTCCAATTCATGAGAGTATCTTTTTATATTCTGAATTTATATTTTATGTAGATTCCAGACCGCAATTTTTTTTCATGAAATAAAATAAATAGAAAGAAGAGGAAAATCCTCATGACGTCTCTACTAGCAAACGAATTATTGACGAGTTTTTTATTTCTAATTTATTTACGGAATTCTTCACTAATCGTAATAATAAAAATATTTATATGACAGATAAATGTTGCATGTAAAAAAATGTGTAGATATAATTTATGGAAGTAGATTAACATAAGAGTATTAGCGTAAAATTATGCCTGCCTCGCAGTTATTTTGTTTACAGATGACAAATCCAAAACCAATTCATCAAAAAAGAAATTTGAGATACTTCTATAAATGTTAAAAGTTCATGTAGAAACATCTCAGAAGCTATTCAGATTTTTCTTTTAATACACGGCTCAAAGAAATAATGTAGGCTATTGGCACTTGAAATAACTGAATCTAAACCTCGCCGGAAAGGTTGTTGCCGAAAGCAACGTGATTACGTCAAGTGAAAGGTTTTGTAAACGGGAGCGTCGATTATGCTTTAACGAGGTGAAAGAATTGCGTTTCATTGAACCCGTGTATACTTTCCTATACACAAATATCCTACTTCCATTTCATGTCAATTGACATGTACATTATTCGCGATTATTTTATTTATATTTATATTAAGAGTAATGAGATATTTTCTAAAATAATTCATGGATATATATTTTTGCTAAATTTAACAACAGTGTTATAAGATAAATATTATATTTCAACAGTACTATTTGTAATAAGAATAAGTTACTTTAATATATATCTTTTCCCCGTCCATTTAATTACATGCATGTGTTTAATTATCTTGTAAATGAATTTATCCGGTATTGTGGATCTGTGGGACGGAACTCCTTCCACCTCGTCTACAGTTCATTTAAGACCTTTTATTCGACTGATTGAGAGTTCAATGTATGTACAATGTAGTGCACGTGGACTTTTAAAGATGTGTCGGGCATGTTAAATTCCAAGGCCGAGAGCGTCAAATAGTTATCAGTTCTAGAGGATGTTATTTTTAGACGAAGAATTTTCTATCTATCAAAAATATATTATACAAAATAAAAGTATATAATAAAAATGTCGACAAATATTACAAAAATTAACATGATAATTGTTATTCATTTAATATATGTGGAAGAAAAAGAGATTTCCAGATTTATCAATTTAATAGTTAATTAATTAATATATATATATACGGTGTTAAAAAAATTGGGCATTGAACTCAAGATTGCGTTTTCAGTAAAATATACGTTGTATTAATATTTTTTTCGCTGCATTTTAGGAACGATGAGAAAACATCAGTCACGGATGAAGTAGCATATATTTCCAAACTTCGACAAGCAGTACCGCAATGTTGTGCAGTCGGCGCTAAAAATTTACTCCTACTTACTTTTGGTTCAACCTTGGGATTCTCAACTATCCTTATCCCGGCGTTGCAGAGGGAAGATGCGGACATCAAAGTCACGATGGAGGAATTAACATGGATCAGTAAAGGGCCATTTATAAATATGGGGCGCTGAGAGATCCATACAATACATATAGAATTATTTAAAGAATTTTTGCTTTAAAATACAAATAGAATTTTTCTTCTGTCTGTCCAGAAGGATTTTTTCGCTTTTTTCTGATAAAACTCTTTCATTGTAATTTAAGTCAATATAAATGAAATTTCATGGTAAAAAAATTAATATTAGTTTACCACATTATATTGTAAATTATCTCAATATTAACGTTTAAATTATTATTAATATTAAAATTGAAATTATAATTATTAACTTATATGCACTTAAGCCGGTTCTACAATACGTCGCAAACGATGACAACTGCTGATTGAAAAGTGTTATTTCTGATTGCCGATTGCCAGTTTATTACTGTCGCCAAAAAAGTTAAAGGTTCGCCAACTCTCTTTTGACAACCGCAATTGACAAGCGCAACGTGGAAATAACACTTTTCAACTAGCAGTTGCCATTGTTCGCGACGTACTGTAGAACCGGCTTTATAGTTCAACCAAATGTTACATAATAGTCTTATTTATTATATCAATTATCGTCTGCAATGTTTTCACTGTTAATATATCCTCTTCCAGGCAGTTTGAACTTATTTCTCGTGCCGATCGGCTGTTTGGCGAGTGGACCGCTATCGCAGTATCTGGGCAGGAAACGGACGATGATGCTGGCGAATATACCATTTGTGATGGCCTGGCTGGTGTTTCACTATTCCAGCAATCCTGCGATGTTGCTCGCGGCGCTCGCGATGACAGGCCTGACGGGCGGCCTCCTCGAGGGCCCGGTTATAACTTACGTCGCCGAGGTGTCGCAGCCCTACCTGCGTGGAATGCTCTCCGCGACTTCCTCGATGGCGGTGATCCTGGGTGTCTTCACGCAAATGTTGAGCGGCAGTTTGACTCACTGGAGAACAGTGGCGCTGATCAATCTGACTTACCCGATTCTTTGTTTTATCGCCCTGTGCTTGGTGCCCGAGAGCCCGCACTGGCTCGCCGGTGAGTGATCAGTTAAATTATTTACTTTTTTCACAAATTTATCAAACTGTTAAATTATTTTATTATTTATTTATTATTCTAAATTATTTATCTGTTTATAAATATTAGCGAATTATTATTTATCTCTTTTCTCAAATGTAAGGAGTTATATAATTAATTTTAGCAATTATATAATTAAATATTTTAGCGGTTCAATAAAGTATCATCACTTGAATCTATTACTTTATATAAATCAAAACGTTTTTTCAGTTTTTTAACGAAACAGATATATGTATATATCTGGGCTAATCTCATATTTAAAAAAAAACTTTAAAAATTATTATAATAATAATTAATTAAAGCTAGTTTTGAATTTTGAATAATACAGAAACTTGATTCTTTCCAGTCAAGGGTCGTTTCAAGGAATCGGAACGCGCTCTCTGTTGGTTGCGGGGCTGGGTAGGCCCATCGCATGTGCAAAATGAATTTAATGCGCTCCGCGAGGCGATTCAGAAGCCGACCGATAACACCGATGCCGACAAGGAAAAGATTTGGCGAGCCTACACCAAACGGACCTTCTGTTTGCCTTTCTTTTTGGTCAGCGCGGGCTTCTTCATCTCAAACTTCGGTGGCTGCACAACTCTGCAGACTTTCGCCGTCGTGATATTCGCGAAACTGAACGCGCCGATCGACAAGTACACGGCCACGGTGTTCCTGGGCATCGCTCAGTTAATCGGCACCATAATCTGCGTACTGACGATCCACCTCATGGGGAAACGCAGGCTGACTTTCCTGTCGGTCGGCGGTACCGGTTTATGCTTCCTCGTTACCGCTATCTATGGTTATCTCAACGACATGGATTTCTTGGACGGTGTCAGATACAGCTGGATACCAACTACTCTCATGATAGGCGGAGCTTTCACAGGGAATCTCTGCATCAGAACCCTGCCTTGGATTCTTGCGGGCGAAGTGTTTCCCGTGAAGGTGCGTGCATTTTGCGATATTTCTCTTTCAGTATTTTTAAGTTTTAATCCTTTCGATTAAATTTCGTTTACAAAAAAATTAGAGACTGCATTTATCATTGGAACACTTTATTATAATTGAACATCAAATCTTTCTTGATCTCAAACGATTCCGAATTCGTCATCAGGTACGCAGCAGCGCAACCGGCGCGGCCGGTATGATCGCCTACGTCATGGCGTCGATCGCGAACAAAACTTTCCTCTACATGGTGAACGGCATGTCATTATCCGGCACGTTTTTCTTCTACTCTCTGATCAATGCTGCCGGCTTGTGCCTTATGTACCTGATATTACCCGAGACCGAAGGTAGGACCTTGCGAGAAATCGAGGAGCATTACGCCGGCATACAGAGTCTAAAGAATCGGCCGAAGAAGGAGCAGCAGGCCACCAAGGAACAATGGGCGGTCGCGAATCCGGCGATTGTATACGATGAGAATATCGAAAGTAAATTATAGAAATTCGGCTCTCTGGTAACTTCATGAACTAAATTATCACGCTGTTAACTATTGCATCCGGAATCTGTTCATGGAAAAGACTTATTGCATGAAAAATTTTATAACTGACACAATCCAACTCATGAAAGAGAGGTAATCGATTGTAAAGATTTATTTGATTGATGTTCATCTATAGTCTGTACAATGCTGGAGGAACAAGAATTACCGCAAATTAAATGGTTTTTTCCTAAGAAAATTTCCGGGAAAAGATTGAAGAACTAGTGATATGTTGAAGAATGTTAGGAAATAGTATTTCTATTTATTATTTTATATTATTTAACAGAGACGCGGTTGTCGCAAAGTGGTGCTGACATCATCGCTAATATTACTGACTAATCTTTAGAAACGGAGGAACTGATTTTTGGGTTATAAACTAGTCTCAGTTTCTTCCCAAAATATTACCTTTGCCACTGACACATACTTAAATAAAAGAAATTGAAGAAATTGATGAAAAAAAAACTTTCTAAAGATTAGCAGAATACTTGACACAGACTTGTCTTGTTGACTTGAAATTCATTTCTTCGTTACTGCTTAGGGAAGCTTTTACATTTTACGACGACTTTCGCATTTTTTTTATTGCGATTGGATATATTTATGTAGATTTAATAAAAACGAAAATGAGAATATACATATAACGGGGAGCTGAATAGAATTAAGCTTTAATTGTATTAGCCAACGCTGTTGCATATTATTATTCTCTGTGATAATTCGATGATCTTTAATACTAAACGTAGAATATATTTTGGTAAAGCGTAAAAGCGCACATATATATCACTATCATATTTTCAACTCGAATATCGCTTAATAAATGATTTATAATATTTATATGCACTCGTGTTGATAAAAAATCTTGAACAAAATAAAAATGTATTTATTACATGTTAATTTAGTATTTAGTTCCTTTGTATAATCTGTAAAATAAAATAAAGAGACTTATCGACTGTTATTAATAACATTTAAAGGAACAATCTATAACATGTCTTATATCATAAGGAACATTTGAATTCTTTCTATCACTGCTTTTACTTTTTATTTTTTGACATGTTTACGAGGCATGAACTCTCTCTTGATTTATATTTGGAGGGGTAAAAGTCATAGTGGTGTAAGTCAAATTTTTTTTAATTTTTTTTCGCGTGCATAGATGCAATCTATACAATATATAAATTGCATCTATGCACACAAAAAAATATTTTTAAAAATTTGTTTTACACCACTGTGGTTTTTACCCCTCCATTTATCGCGCTATATGCGATTGCGTTGAATACATACTGCGAGTAATGCGTTGTTGCGAACTTATATAATTTTTAATTACTGTTTTCCTTTGTTTAAATTATACCGAAGACGGTCTAAATATAGACCGAAAACACGAACACCCAGTTGGTCCTTTTATTTTAATTGGCATAATAAAAATATAATCTACGTTATATAGATTAGAAAATTATTATTCGTTCTTAACATTTTTTAAATATTCTGTGTTGCTTAATTATATATATTTACTTCTTTAAATCGATTAAAAATAATAAAATAATATTCTGAAATATTTTTCGTAAATCAATAAAGTATTATCATATCAATTACAGAATGGAAACAGTGTTAAGATAGAATACTGATCAAATTAAATAAGGGATAAAAGATAATAATATTTATCTTTCATTATCCTCTTCCATCTGTATCAAACACATATGGACCCAATTTTTATTTTTATCCTTTTTATCATTCTCAAATTAAATTGTATCTTGCTTCAACTTTTCCACAAATGTTTATTGCGCTGTTGTTCATAAATATGTATGTAGATGGATGTATACGATGTGTACGATGATGTGTAAATGTATTTGAATGTCCATAGTGTATTGAGCTCGAGTTCGTGGGTTCGCTAAGCCCGCAAGTAACCATGCGGGGATCAGTCATTCCTGCGGGAGCATAAATTAATCGAGAATTCCGTGATATTGTGGCCATCTAATAATGATTGAGGCGTTGCATTAATTTAGATCAATATTGATATTCGCGGAAAGACTTGGCAGCCGACAGAAATAGAAGGGAGCTTGTGGTTCCTCAGTTTTACTGTAGATGGAACATGTAGTCTTTTATATCTGAGAGATACAGATTAATTATTTCGCACTAAATGTATGTATGAAAGAAAGAGAGAGACTTTAAATCGTTATCCACATTAAATTTTAATAACAAATTCTTTAGAATATTTAGAATTAATTTTTCCTCAATAAAAATGTAAAAAACGGTTTTACTTTTTAATAATCATTAATTTCTTACATTTATATTTTTAATTTAATTATCTAATAAATATTCTTCTTTTCAAAAAAAGAGAGGGAGGAAGTATTTAATCTAATTAGAATTGTCAGATATCGGATTTTATTATCAAATATATTTGCAAAGATTCTAAAATCGTCGAACTGTTTCCATAATCTAATTGTAAAACCAAAAGTTGTCGATGATCACCTATTCGGTTATTTTTCTTTCTTTTTAACAATAACATTTTTCAATTACAAATTAAAAGAAAAGGATAAAAGTACAGATTTAAAAAACTGAATCTTCCTTAGATTAAAAGCTTTAAAAGAATCTCATCGAATCAATATTTGCCAATAAGAAGTTTCTTTAACCAGGAAAAGTATCTTTATGTATATAAAATCCTCGAACTTTTTCAATCGGAAAGGAAATATCCGAAGCTACTGGCACAATAATCGACGGTGCCGCGAATCGATTTGCGAATCTCGCCGCAGGATCCAGCCGGATTGGAAGTCGCGGAAAGTCATTCGAGGCAAGACATCCGCGGGGCATCCCCCGGATCAACAAGTGTTCTCTCTCTCCCCCGGCGAGCGTGTACTTTCTATTCACGATTATATTGATGTCAGTCGGGGTTGCTGGTGTGGCGCAGGCGCGGATCTTCCCCCGGATCGGGCCGACGTCGGGCGGGGGTCGTACGAAATGGTCGATATTTTAGCTATAGCCAGCGGGTGGTCTACGGTGCGCGAGACGCTTCAACGAGATCGGGCAGTCCAGTCTCCTTATATTCGCTGTTACGAAAACCACCCCTTGGTCGTGTGCCGCGCTGGTCAGAGTGGTGCGAGATATATCGCGAGAGTATACGCGCGTCGTCACGACGTAAGGGAATATCCGCCGTCTGGCGCTTGGCCGCCCCCGCTGTCGACCCCCCTCCTCAAAAACCCCCCTCGTGCGTTAAATATTAATCGATCGGCGGACGGAAGCGCATCAGCGCAGCGCGTGGTGCATCCCGATCGTCGAGTCGCATCTCACGTCGACAGCCGACGGGCGAATCCGTGCGGGATTTCCCACGATCGCAGCGAGGAGAGCGAACCCGTCGTCCGCGCGAAGGGAGACCAGCTTCCTTCCCCATCTCCAGGGAGTGACTCTTCCAGGTGACACATCGCGAGGCACTTTGTACGAGCAGAGAACTCGGCTCACGATAGTTAAAGAGAGACTTAAGAACTTGGCGAGAGGTGCTTTAAATTCCTCGAGAAAAGTAAACGCGTCGATAGCCTGCTTATTGATTTCTCTTTATCTATCTCTCTCTCTTTCTCTTGCTCCCGCTCTCCCTTTCTCTCGCTCTCTTGGTCTCTCGTGTGACCTCTGCCTCTCTGTTATTTCAATACTGTCATTTCTGAATATTCGCCTTGATTCTCCACCCTTTCTTAATTCTCCTTCTCCTAGTTTTACGTGAAATGTATGCTGATGCGGTACGTGAATTGGGACGTTACCGTTTGTCTATTTTACACCTGTCTTCTCTTCTTTTCTCTCTCTCTATCTCTCTCTCTCTCTCCCTATATATATATTGTTTAACTATGTTTGTCGTCTAAGCCTTTTTTCACACATTATCCTGCAGCTTATGGAAAGTTTGAGCCAATATACGTCGCGCGCAGCGATAAAGTCTATTTCATTTTCTCCTCCCCGCTTTTTGTCAGCCGCAAAAACTGCGGGCACGATCGCCTGGCCTTTCATTCACTCGAACTCACTTTCTGCGTTTCATGCGACGCCGTAGAGTCGTCGTGACGTAGGCGACCACGCTCTTGGCCACTTCCGATCAATTCCCCGTTCGACCATTTATCCGTTTCTCCGCCGTCTCCTCCCCGTTATTATCGGCGCTGAGATTTCGCGGAGAATCGTCCAGGGTCGTGAATATTTTCGCGCGAATCTTTCATTAATTTATTGAAGTTAATGAGAAGTGGCGAGGTGAAAGAACAGGCCGATAAGTTAGCTCGCTGTTATCCAACACCCAGCTGAGTATATAATCGGGTGCGATAACTGTCAGAGTGATTTTCCTAGACCTCCAAACGGCAAACAATAAATCCTTCAATCTTTTCAAAACTCTTGGTATGAACGCCATAACCAGCTCATTTTTAGACGAGCAATAAATTCATAAATTAACACACATTAATAAAAATCAATTAAAATACGACATGATTCGCCGTCGCATATTGTAGCAAGTATTTTATTTTATTTTTTTGTATATAATTTCAATTTTTATATCTTGTATCTCAATTAGATTATCTTCTAATTCTAATTGTTTGAAAGTTATACCGGGCTATGCCAAAAAAAATTGAAGGGATCAATTGTAATCTCACAGGAGAGCCGTCGCTCGACGTAGTCAGCTGAACGTCTCGAATTAATTACTCGTTCCCCGACGTAGGCGCGCCGGACGGCTGTTGAAAGACTTTACTTCTTTACTACGCTAACGCGCCTGCCTCTGACGTAAACCGAGGCTCCATCTTCCGTCGCCGTTCATTCTACGGATGCACTGAAATCGAAACTATGTATAACTACGGGACGGGCGGTGCGAAAGCACGAGAGAGCGTGGGTGGGCAGCTGGGCATGACAATCGATTTGCCTCCGAAAATATTTGCTCCCTCGCTGGCTCCGCTCTGTCGTCGTCGGAAATCAATGGAATCGAGCGTGGTCGTGGATCGGACGATCACAGATCCGACGCGGACGACGTCGGATATGATGACGATGAGCCGACTCGATTCGAGCCTCTCGAATCGAGTCGTTGCAAAATGAATTGCCGAAGGAGACTAAAAGAATTCTCTTTCTTTTCGTCCTCGAATCCGTCTTCACGTAAATTCCAATTTCAGATTTATTACATATCGTGACTATTATATACATTTCACTGCCACTTTCTGGCTGTTATGCTAAAGTTAATAAACTATATATATACATTTCACTGGTTTTATGTGCGTCGTAGTTGTACATTATGAATACGAATAAACTTTCGCAATCTTTGCAAAGTAATTATAATATTAATGCAGATTTCAATGAGAAACTTTAAACGAACACGCCCGGCAAAATCGGGGCTTTGATTAACCAACATGTAAAGAAATAGAACGACGAAGTATCGAGTAAAGTTCCTAACCAGCGAAGCATATTGCTACCAACCGCGATGTATTCCTGTGAAATGAATATAGTGAAATTGTATTTTCGAGCGAAAACGAAGGTTTCGCCAAGAAAGAAATGGACTTGTCCCATCGCCGTCGTCGTCGTACCATCGATTTCAGTATCTACTTGACCTTCGTAGAACGCGCGTCGCCTCAATCATCATCTGTCCACCGAAGACACGCTCAATTACCTACCCGCTACCGCCATCCGTCACGGAAATTGTCGTAACACTGTAAAACAATGCTCGCAAGTGGTGCGCGTACCTGCGCTTTACTTTTTTTTTCTACACGCGAACCGACCGTTGTTAACGTTGACACAACACATACGGCGCCGCGATATCGTTATCGCACACGGAAAACCTTGTCCTACTTTTTCTTTAACCGTGCCATGTAATGTACGTGCGCGGGCGTTATGTGTGTGAGTGCGTGACGCAATCTTCCGGATGAGATTTTATCCTCTCCCTTTTACGCCTCGCGAAATAATTACGTGCAGTGCTCCCTGTGTAATTGTCGCGGTCATGTTGTCCTGATCGTATCCGTTTAACGCGTCTGCAAGTCCGAGCAGTGATATATACACGTGAAGACTAGAGAACCCGCTGAAGAGATGATCTGCGAGTTTGATCTGTGATCTGGCCTCGAGTTCCTCCTATATCGAAAATGTCGAGATGCCAATAAATGTTTCAGTCCATTGTTATTGCCGGGGCGAGAGAAAGAGTGAAAGAGAAAGCGAGAGAGAGAGCGAGAGAAAGAAAGAACAAACTGCAACGAAAGGTGACACCTCCGTTAATTACTGTCACGCTGAATAGATTAAATGTCGTTCCGTTAAAATGAATTTTTCCTCTTCTGGTAGGCTTAGCCTATTTTCGAAACAGATTATTTCGCGCAAGCGAGTTCCGAAAGAAATATTGCAAAATAGAAATATGTCGTACTGCATATGATTAAATAATTTAAGTAATTTTACGTGCATATTACTTGTTTTTTGTATTACTTTTATACAGGACATTAGGACTTTTCTGATATACTTCAATATAAGCATCATTGATCTGCGTTTATTCACGAATATCTTTTTCGCCGAATATGGAGTCAGAGTTCTCTTAACAAGAATGTTAAATAATTTTCTATTTATGGACTAATAAAAATAAATATTCTTTCCTGAGTATATCTCTAGCAGAGCGTCAATTGGATATAAATACAAATAAATTTTAATTTTAATTCCTACTTTAATTAAGAAAATATCAACGTTATAAATGTATATATAAAAAAATAGCGCAAGAGTTTTCGCTTAAAATTTCTAGAAAAAAAAACAACAGATAAGAGACTTATTCATTAACGCAACGCCGAAGAGCCAAACGACAAAAACAAATTAAGGCAACACGAACGTGATCATACGCACCTGTGCGAACCGCAGACTATCGCCCGCAGTAGGCCCGATTATCGTCGTCGCGTTGACACGTCGCGCGTGCGGAAGCAATACAGTGAAACAAGAAACGGAAGATAGAACCGCGAACGTCGCCACGTCGTTGATCGCTCGTTGGCCAGTCTCGCTATTCGAGCCCGAGCTGAATAATTTCGCATTAACGCGATGCCGTTTGCCGCGGACGGAGTGCGTAATTCCTTTATCATTCAGTCCCTCGGATTCTTCTCAGTTAATTAATTAAGCACGTCGAGTGAGAGGAGAAATGATACATTGCATTTTGCGTTGCGTCAAAGAGGAGGGAGTAGTGAATGTCGAAAAAAGTGGTCAACAATAATCGACAGCAATAATTGCATCGGCGTAAAAATCTGCTGACCCGAGGGAAGATTTAAAACAAAGCGCAGTGTCAAACAAACATTATTAAATAATTCTACCGAAATAAGCTGTTAAACACTTAATGAAACAATTACTTGAACAAGATTAGAGGAAGGCAAGGCGGTTGATGAGTTTTAGCTAACGAAATGAGAGGCAATTAATAAAACGGTAAATAAATTACAGACAACAGAATGAGATGAGAGATGACTCGAGATAAAATGGTTAATAAATTGCAGTTAATAAAAACTAGGGCGGAGAGACTCAGAGATCGATCTCAAGAATGTGATTGAGAGAGCTGCAGTATAAGGAAGAATGTGAAGGGGGACACACAAAGAGATTCGATCAGGTGTCACATTGATGTGACGTTTGAGATGTCGAGGAGATGCGGGAATGCGTCCTACACGCCGGTTAAGGATTCCGTTTTCGAGCTACGCACGCGGACGGTTCGGATGCTGTCCATCGTCGACATTACCTCGCAGAAGAATAATCCGGTATCGGAATATCGACTCGATATGTATCCGTTAGCACGAATGCTGTTTCGTCGGGCGAAAGGCGAAACTATAACTAACGAAGACGAAACGCGCGAGAAAATTTAAATGGACTCCAATTAATTACTCACACGCGCGATAAATTGCACAATCGAGTAATTTAGTCGAATTTTCCGCTTGTAATTTCAGTTGAGAGATTTATGAGAATAATTGCATGCTAGAACGCTAACAATAAGTTGACGAAACGACCGAAAAAAGCTGTAAAACGCTTTAATTTTTTGTATCTTTATAAAAAATTCTATCATGTTTTTTTTTATTATGCTAATTGAAGATATAATATTTTAATATTTAATAAAAAGACTAGAAGAGTTTTTAGAAAAGATTTTAAATGCTAAAGGTTTTTCAATGCCTTTTAAAATCTCTCAAACGATCGACTTGTGATTCGGCGATACCAAAAAAAGTGCATATTGCAACTACTTTTTTCAGCGTTTTCTATCACATACAGCTACATACAGTCACATACAGTTATATACAGTTCTCAATTCCGTGCTTTGAAGCACGATTCAAAAAAGTATTGTAACTCGAATCCATGTGCAGTTAGGTATTTATTGTATATTTCGCTTCTGTTACAACTGACAAAAGAGAAACTTTCGGGAAGAAAGACTGTTCGACAAACAACAATTCCCCTGAAAAGTTACAGTTTTGCAATACTTTTTGGTGCCGTTGAATTGATTCCAAAACTGACTCTGCGAGATACCAGAGTAAAAGCTCAGTTTCTCTCGTGTGGCTTGACGTGTGCCTCGAACTTTTCGATATTTTTATCCAACGTTTTCACGAACGTGACCAAGCGATATCCGACGAACCGTGACGAATTTTGCATCACTATAGTAGTAAGCTCATCTATTGCATCAAATACCTTCCTCTTGTCCACCTCGTCCCATATCAGAGCAACGAGCAGTTTTACGACATGCGCGTGCAAAGCTAATCGCAATATAGCAAGCCTCATCGTATATATTCTTCCTTTTAAGTCACCGGTTTATAAATAAATGTTACAAAACATGAAGAAGTATAATATAATACTTCCATAATTTTTATAATTCTTAATCACATAAATTCTGAAAAAAAAAATTATTCCTAATTTTGTTTTAACTTTTAATACTTACAATTAGTTTTGATCTTGCAATCGAATTCTCTCTTACAATTAGAAATATTATATTTAGGAATTGATACGCGCGAATCCTTCGCCTATGATTTGATTAATTCACGAATGTTTAAATTCGTAGATCTAAAAATATAAAAATTATCTGGATTCGTAAAATAAGCTAATACAAATAATCCTTTCGCAGATGGCGCGTCAGGATGGCAGGGATGCCGCGGATCAAAACTTCGATTACATGTTTAAGCTGCTGATAATCGGCAACTCGTCCGTCGGAAAGACCTCCTTCCTCTTTCGCTACGCGGACGATTCCTTTACCTCGGCTTTCGTGTCAACCGTAGGAATCGACTTTAAGGTGAAGACCGTATTCAGACACGACAAAAGGGTCAAGCTACAAATCTGGGTCAGTATATGCACACGACGTGTTATGCACGTATAACGTAATTTCCTGACGAAAAGCAGCCGTTGCGCGTTTATAATATTAACATGGATTTTTCGAAATTCATACACTTACTTATTAAAATAATGACTTGCCTATGTAACAAATATATAATTTTTTTGAGTTATTTCTTAATATATTTTAAGTAACGTTCTGCATGTTATATTATTTATAATGTAAAATATTGCGCTGCTTATTTAATTGTTGGAATCTTTACAGGATACAGCGGGTCAGGAAAGATACAGAACGATCACGACGGCCTACTACAGAGGCGCGATGGGTTTCATTTTAATGTACGACATCACAAACGAGGAATCTTTTAATTCAGTACAGGATTGGATCACACAAATAAAGAATTACTCGTGGGACAACGCCCAAGTAATTCTTGTGGGCAACAAGTGCGATATGGAAGAGGAGAGGGTGATCAGCACCGAGAGGGGTAAACAGTTGGCGGAGCAATTAGGAGTACGATTCTTCGAGACATCGGCCAAAGAGAACATTAATGTCAAGGTATGTCACGAATTCAGAAACTGACCAACTATTTGATAAATAAGAAGCATACATTTCATACTTCTAAAAATTTTGACGAATAAAATTGCATACTATATGTACATACGTATATAAAAGATGCTTTGAGTTTTTGTTGCTTTTCAATTAATATAAAGTAATATAAATAATCATAACTATTACCTAATTAATAATTATTTAATTAACATGTCTGATTAACAACTTAAGTGTTCACAATGCATTTTTTTTTTAAGTAGAACAGTCTTGTAGCAATTTTGCTTCAAAATGTTAATTTTATTTGGAGTCAAATTTCTGTTATCATGAAAAAAGTAATTTTTCTAATTATTTTGTTCACCAAGAAAAAACTTCTCTGCATTTTAGTAAATATTAGTTTGCATACAACCGTGACTCTATTTACTAAAATGAAGAAAATTTTCCTTTTTATTAGTATATTTTTTTCTCAATGAATACACATATACTGATAAAAAGGAAAATTTTCTCCATTTTAGTAAATGGAGTCACAGTTGTATGCAAACTAATATTTACTAAAATGCGGAAAATTTGTTTTCTCAGTGTATCCATACGCAACTAAAATTAATATAAAAATTGAAGGAACTTTTAGATCTCATTTTCGATCTCTGACACGTTTCCAATCTCGCTCTATTGTGTCTCGGAGAGTAGAACGCGAACGCGAGGCATATCGATCCCGCTTTTCACGAGGTCACGTAGATGATCGATTCTTTTTTTTTCTCCCGTTTCGGCAGGCAGTGTTCGAACAGCTGGTGGACATAATATGCGACAAGATGAGCGAATCTCTGGACAATGATCCGACCCTGATGGGAGCGGGCGGTACGGGCCAGGCCAAGGGCCAACGACTCACCGATCAGCCGACCAATCCAGCGAACACTAACTGTAATTGCTAAAAAAATGCGACGACACGCAAAGGAGAGGGAGAAAAACGGGAGATCGTATTTTGTGCGTGTGTCTGCGCGCATCTGTGTGCACGTGTGTGTTACGTGTGTTAGATAAGGCTAAAAAAAGGAGAGAGAGAGAGAGAGGAGGAGAAAGTGTCGTGTGCGACGCTGGTGTGTTAACTAGTCCACTTACTTCGTCGTTCCCTCTCGTTACATTATTTATTTCAAAATTCGCCTTTCGTTTCTTTTCACCCTTTCTCGGCGCGAAATGATATATATGAATAATGTACGCTATATAAATACATATATATATATAATATATAAACATAATGATTGTGATCATCGAGGTGCGACCGAGTTAGCTAACGGCCGTTAAATAAACGGTCGTAGTTTTCCTTTCAGTTCGTCTACTTGACGAAAGTCAGGGACTTGACACAATTTCCGAAAATTCTAATTTCCATGTTGCAGATACGATATATTAAAGGCGAAAATGCGCCAATTGTCATGTTTTTCATGATCAGAAATAAAAGTCAATTGTGATGATCATATAAATTCACGGTCTTATAAAAATTAATTAAACTGAATTGGAATTTAATCAACTCTCTACTCTATTTCCTTCTGGAAAAACAAAAGAGGCGAAAGATCCAATTGAGTCGTAGTTAGTATTAGTCATCTGGATAAAAATAACCGTCGGAGTAACAAAAGAAAATTTCGACAAAAATATCTAATTCAATCATACTCTTTTCGCAGTACTTTTCTATCGACAAAATAAATCGTCAATTTCACATTATGCCAAAATAACCGTTTTTTATTGATTATTTCGATTCGTGGCATACATAAGGATTAGCTTGACGTGTCTGTGGCATCGAGATTTGAAACCAAAGGGAATGATGCATGTTTTGATTTCTTTTAATGAAAGGGAGAGAAGGTAGACGCAAACCGCGAGGGGAAGAGATTGGACGAAGGTGCATTTTGTTTTGCGGTTGATAATGATTAATGACGACGATTGTTAATAGCAGGGACGATGTTGCTCACTCGATGTTTGGCACTGTAATAGACTCACGCAAAAGGAAGTGATTCCACATGTCTCAAGTCCGTGCATTAAGTAAGATACGCCCAGGAAAATCTGACAATAAGCGTCAATCACTCGACAAGACTCCACAAGATTTCAAAATGCCGATCAATCAGAGGCGTAACAGAGTCGAATTAACCCTTTGGCTCCTACCGTCTAATTTGATGCGGACAATGCAAGTAATGTTCACGTTTTAATGTCGCTTTGAAATTGTAAGCTGGTTAGAAAAACCATATTATTCAAGAGAATATTTATATTTAAAATATTGTCAGATATATTTAATATTTAACGATACTCTGTAACAATTAGTGACATTATTGCGGCAATAAAGGTTCAGCGACGGATGTAAGCACGTTTAAATGTTCACGGAGACCGAAGGAGTCAAAGGGTTAAATACAGAAGCGATGCGATACGTGAGCACGATTTGCATTAAGTTTACATTAACATTCGTTATAATTGAAGCGGTGAGTTAAATAAGTCTGACAATTGATAATATAATCGGATACTATAAACTGAAAAATTGTTCAAAGATTGAAAATAAAAATATTTCAGCGAAATGCTTTTAAAAAAAAATGTTTAAGTAACGTGCCCATTTCTAAAAAAAAGACGTCTTATTCCCTAAAGCGAAACATCGCTGCATCCAACTTTTTTGGCACACATAAAGCGCTTTGTTTCAATCAAATAGTATTCGATTATTCATGCGCGCAATCGATGATTCACTGACACACACCTGGCATGTAACTCTCGTAACTTATATAGATACAAAGTGTCTCGATGACGATAATGACAATGGCGACACGCAACGCCGACATGCACAATTTATTTTCGCTCATAAAAATTCGAGTATTTAAATCCACCGACCCCCCCCCCCCCGAATGTTAAATTGCGTTTTTTCGTTGTGACTGAAGTGTATCGTCGCAAACGTTTTAAGCGTCCTGTTCAGATTGATTATAATATCGAATCTTGATAATATCACGAAAATATCTTCAGTATACACTGTCAATACTTATAATTGTATTTTTATTTCATTTCACGTTACTCTTCGCGTTTCATACATTGAGAAAAAAAGTTGTTAACTTGACTAAATATTTTCAACTGATTATTATTTTTCTAATTGAAATATTTACGTATTTAAATTAAATACGACATATTAAATTTAACATGACGTAATTTGATACTCAAATACCTAAATATTTCAATTAAAAAAAATAATCAGTTGAAAATATTTAGTCAAGTTAACAACTTTTTTTTTCTCAAAGTATAAGTTCTTTTACGTCTCATTCAGAACAAAAACGGACATTTGTTAATATAAAGGCACGTTAAGCGACAAACTGTATCGCAAAAGAAACTCAATTTTATATAGTTCTTGCTGTGTGTAACTATCCGCACGATTATCTATTAAGCGACTCCAGAACGAGAAGGTTGCGAGAGGGAGAGAATATCGTTTTCGCGGTAGACCGTAAAAAATGTTATATTAAATCCCTATGAGTTTTTCGAGAAACGCTGTCAACGCGATATATCGTGTAACGATTCAATATAATTATCAGTCAGCCAATTCATATTGTATCGACCGTAATGGCATTCTTCGCGAAATTATTTAAGGTAGGAGGCATTAGCGAGCATTATTACCGGGATCGACGAAGGCCGAGGTCGTAACAGGGCCGGATACAAATTTCGCTATACTGTAAATCATTCAGAGGAACCAGCAGCATCGATCTGGCGTCAATTATCGAGGAGTGCCGGCGTCCCGCTTACTATACTTCAGTCGTCATCCGGCGTTAAAACGTACTAGGTAAGCTGCCCTCTGTACATAAGTGAGATAATAAATACAAAAAAGGTATCTATCATGTATCATTGAATCTGTAATGAGGTGTAACGTACGCGTGTAAGTTAGCCGCGCGGATTTCTCGCGAGCAGCACGCGGCACGCCGGAGATCACGTGGCCCGCGACACCGAGTGCACTGATCAATGGCGCAATTAATCGATCGCGAACCGTCGCGAGTTAGCGAACTGTCGACAACGAATGCGTTTCCTCGTGCAACCGAGGAACTGAGAACGAGAAAAGAAGGTACGAGATGAGAGAGGGAGAAAAAGAGAAGAAATGTGGTGTGTGTAATAAAAACGCGTGTTCGAAAAGCGCGGGTGTCATAGAGCAGTACGTAGAGAGGGGTTTAATTTCGACGAGTTCGATTTTTGCTATAGATACGGAAAGATTTTATGCCAATTATCGCGTTTCCACTTATACAGATAAGCAGAGATCGTTCCTACGTCTATTTTTGTCTACAGTATTAAAATCTGAACTCGTTGAATTTATATACGGGATTTCAATCTCTGTCTTCTTTTATTTAGGTCTCTCTCCTTTTTCTATACTTTCTTCACTTCGAGTGAGACAAATCGAGGGGAAAGTAAGAATATGAGATAAAATAATAATTAGATATATTATCTTCCTTAAAAAAAAAAAAAAAAAAAAAAAAAAAAATAGAATTTTAAACGTGCAATATAATGTAATTTACAGCACTGAAATATACATAAAATTGAAGATACAAATATGATGCAAATTACATGTAATTCAATATGAATACATTTACAAAACAAAGTATTTTCAATTTCGACAACTCAAATTGTAATAATTGGAAAGATATCTCGTGTTCCTACTTCCTTCTTTTTATGCGCATATTTTATTAGCGAGAGAATAAGAAGAAAAAAAATGCAAGTGTAGAAAGCGCAGGCAAAGAGGACCGACCTATCGATGTAACCCAAAAATGCTGATCAATAAAATGGCAAGAAATTTTTCCGGCTGTCGCGGGCATCTGTATGTATGTATCGTACGGTGTGCAAACTGTACTATATATATACGCCTAATATTAATAATAACTACGTTAATGATAAAACAATAATCTACCAATACACTCCACACACATAGTGCAAGAGCAAACACACATACGTGGAGAAGAAGAAGGAAGCATCACGTCGCAGGCGTTACATTGAGAGAAATCATTTGTATAACAGAACAGTTGTACTCTAAGTAAGCTGTATAATTGTAGCAAAAGTCAATCATGGATGTTTTCAACGACTGCTACGTCGTATATGTTAATTGTACGTGTATATGTGCACAATCCGTTAACGATGCAGACCCCGAGAGAAAGAGCGCGAGAAAGAGAGAAAGAGAGAGAGAGAGAGAAAGAATGAGAGAATGTAACACGGAAAATACTTTGAAAATCGGACGTAGCGACAAATGTAAACGATATACATATACATATATATTTAAAACAAAGAAATGACGGAGAGAGCTAATTGTGAATCGCGTGTATTGCATATATGCATGCGTTATGTATGCATGTAGTGCAAGCAGGCGAGAGAAATCGGTGAAAAAAAAAAGGAAAAGAAGGAAATGAGCTATGGAGTAAATCTATAATTTGCAACACGTGTACAAATCATTGACAAACAATTCGGAGGACCAATTGGTAGGTAGTTGGCGCGGTCGCGCTTATCGCGATCTTACCCAACCAGAGATACTCGATTAGTCTTCATCCCAATCCGCCATTACTGTTCGACCTGCAGAAAAATTGGCGAATTGGGATTAATCGAAAAGACTTATACAACGGAAATAATTTCACATTGTTTTCAGTCCATTTATTTCTCTCTATTATAATAGAAACGTGCAGAGAAATACGAATCTGCCTCTTAAATTCCGATCAATTTAAAGATTGAAAATCTGGAGAATGAAGTGCTATTGATTCTTGTTAATTCGTCTATTTTCTGCAGAACAACCGCGTATCATCGTATCAACCACTGAATCCTCCGATAAACTCGCGGAATATACGTAATCTTCGTGATATCTTCGTAATATCTTCGCTCACGTCGCAAAAGAATTATCGGGTGTTTCGTCGAACGCGCGATGACGAGCCCGAGGAGCTTTTATCTTAATTTTCTGCCAGAAAACGTCGAGAAGCGACACAGCACCATCGATTCCTCGCGCGACGTGCGAGCTCGCGACTACATTCCTGCCTTGCATAGATGCATATCACGAAAAGCTTTCGGTCGCCGTCGCGCCGATCGAATTGCGATTTATCGCGTTGGAGTGCGACTTCCCCTTGGAATTGGCGCGATTACGACGGAGCTTCATTGTACGCCAGTGTATCAAGCATCGATCGTATAGACAGAGCTTAATTGTATAGAAACAAATACAGTCAGCGATCGATTTTCTCCACGGGAGTAACGTTGTGCACGCTTCTTGCATTTCTTTCTCCAACGAACCTGCTCAATCGAGCGCCCTTCGATAGATGGAAGGTAAGAATAACGCAAAAAATGAAGGTAAGTATACCTTCATTTTTCTGGTTTTTGCTGAAGATTGCTGCAAATTTCTAAGTGAAAAGTTATATAAAATATTAATATATACGAAGACATTAGAATATTTGCTTTTATTAAAAGATTTCAGCGACTGCTATTTCGATTATCTCAACGAATTCGCGATCGCTAAACATAATTATTTAAATAGTCATTTAATATGGAAAATTAAGGGAATTTTTTTTTTACGTAAGTCGCCTTATACGGCGAAATGTACAGCCACCGTGTTTATTATTCTTCTCGTGTTGAGGCAAAACCGAGTAGAGGAGACCGGGGCTAGAGGACACACGGGTAAGTTGTCACAAAGCTTATATGGCATATTTTTCTCTATAGTATAGGTAGCTTCTATCGTGCTAGTCGAGTATACGAAATAGCTCGTTTCAAAAATATCGCATGTGATATTTACGAGCACTTTTTAACAATTGGACGTGGTAAGTAAACTATAATTCTTACCTCTATTTTTATTGTCTAGTTGGTTTTTGGAATTATTAATCGTAAGTTCTTTTTAGTCATATAAGAAATATTATAGATTTAGATAATTTTTCCTGTATTTAGTTAACCGTCATTGCAACATAGTTTATAAATATAATTATCTTTGTTCAAAGTGACCGTTCGGGGTAAGTTGTCTCAAATGACATAAGATTCAAAGTTTATGAGAATTACTATTCTTTTTTTTACTCTAAGTTTATGAGAGAATTGTATTATATTACAAAGTTCATGAAAATTATTAATTTTTTGTTTAATTCATGCTGCAATATATTATTAAGTAAAATCTACAGGAAACTGTCACTGACTTTAATAAAATATTAAAACAGGGACTATTTGTCGTATGTTTCCTCTATATGAAAGATACGTGATAACGATACGTGATAACGATACGTAATATGAGGTAAATTGTCACATTTGCACGATTCTACTTAGAATTATATAACTTTTTTGTGTATAAATATAAATAAGTAATATTTTTTTTCTTACACCTAAAGGACGTAGCTGGATTATAAAGTAGTAGTACGATATTATAAAATATTGCTAACATTTTTTTTTTAATCAGTGTGTTTGAAAAGTGTGACAATTAGCCTTGGTTTCCCTTTTATTCTGGATTTGACCCACACCTTATATAATAGAAAAAAAACAGTCGTCTATTATTTAGTCATTAGTGAAAATAATTTTGGAACAATTACTTTTACATTTAGTAAGAAAAATTGAAATTTTAAACAACAAATCGCAAATTTCTACTGTGAAATATGTAGAAATTCATGGTAAATTGCAATAAATTGTAGTGAGTTGTAAAAAGTATTTAAAACTATTTAAAGTTTCAACAACTTTTTATAAACATTTTTATGAAAATGTGGTAAACTGTAAAAATCGTAAAAAATGTTTATTTTTAAAAAAGACTGGTGGCAAACGCCCATTTCTTTTGGAACTCGAATTTCAAACTTTTTTCATGGCAAATAGCACTATTAGATGAAACATTAAGCCCATGTAAAATTTTAAGATGAGCATAGGCACGGTTCCGGAGATACAAAGGAGTGAAAGTAATGATTTTCAGTCAGAGTGTATTGCATAAAGAAGAATGTGTGACTGAAGTTCACGTATTATTGAGGGTATTTTTTGTCGAATGGATCATCTACGATTTATTGTTCAGAGAATGAACGATCTACTATTTACCGCTATTTCATTTATGGGAGGAATCTATCTCGGAGAATTTTTACGCTAGACGAAAATTATAAGGTCATATTTAAATCCGGCGTAAAAAATTCCATAAAAAACAATATGTTTCACGTCATTATATATATATATTTTATTTTTTGGTATGGACACTTGAAGAGTTTCGTGTACTTTCATGGATTATGAGAAACCATCACTTTCACTCCATTATATCTCCGGAACCGTGCCTATGCTCATCTTAAAACTTCTCTGAGATTAATGTCCTATCATATAATACTATTTCGCATAAAAAAAGTTTGAAATTCAAGGTCCAAAACATGAGCGAAACAACACATTTTTGCCATCACTCTTTCTGCAACTTTTACTAAATTTTTTTTAGCAATTTATAACTATTTTAGCAATACTATAAAGTGAGTATAACTATTTACAACTTTCTACATCTTTTTACACAGCATTAAACAAGTTAAACAAGTTTCACGTAAAAAGCATTTAAATTTTTTATGTCAGTACCTTCCCTGTGATACGTGGCTAATATATTTTGTAGCATTATGAGTTCATACAAAATTTAATACCATTTTTGCTATTTTTATGAAAAAATACAAGTCGTATAAAGTTATAATAAATTGTAAGAAAGGTTCACCATTTTCTACATTTTACAACAATTATGTTGTAAATTGATATATTCTTTTTAATACTCATCTTCACTTCTGGAAGTGTTTTACTATAACGTAGAGGAAATAAACAGTTTGCAAGTTAATTTAAATATGTTTTATTTACTTCAAAATACTCTACAAATTAAGTACAAAATACAGTTCATTTATTAAT